GTTTAGGATGGCTTTATGCAACAAAAACCATTTATTCGGAAAAGGTTTAAATTTATGTTATAAATATTTTAAATTTCGAACAAAGTTTTTGTCTTTGTAGATGTTTTCCCTCAAATAATTGGAACTTAGTCTATAGATTTTTATCCTTGTACTTACTCGTCGCAGTAAGAACAAAGCTGAGCTCACATCTCGTAACAAACTGCATATTTATGAGAAGAGCTCCGTGACGTCGTGCCATAACATTATGATGACGGAGATTGCTCTGTTTTACTTTATGCATATTCCTTGTCAACACAGACGAGGTATATATTGTTTGATTACATCAATAACAGGGAAGTAATTACGTTCACTCGTTCACAATCACATATAGCAAATGAACAGCAGAATTTAATTACATTTCGTACATGTCAGTGTAAAGCAAACAGGATAATAATCACGTCATGTAAAGCATCGTGGTAAAGCCTATTTTGAAATCGGCTTATGAAGAACCAAATATTACATCAATTTTGATATAGGAAAGGTCACGTGTCATCACTTCATCAGCCACTTTTTGGTGCTTATGGTATGGGACTAACTTAGAACATATAACTTTTTGCACCGAGCTTCTAAGTTGTTACCAAGGAGTGCCAAGGATGTTGAATGAAAGGAGGACACAGCCTCTTGGAATAACGACTGTGGCACCTGGTCACTATAGAATACGCACATTGACACAAAGATCATAACGTGGAGCTTCAATCATTTCTAAGTAACAATACGACAATACGACCTGCCTTTTTAAAAAACTGCTTGTTTGCTACGTATTTCAAAAACGAAACACAATTAAGAAATTTGAATCTGAAATCGTAGTACCAGCAGTTGAGCTCTCTACCAATGAATATAATATAAAAAAGAAAGGTACAGTCTGCCTCAAGTATTCTCGAGCAATAAGCTCGTTGTAAGTAAGTCTCGAATCTACAAAATTAAACGAATCTGAACCCTAAATTTGCAATAAAAAGAAATTGCTAGAAGCAAGTTATTACCTGAAGATTGTCTTCAGTGATTCCCTTGGTATCATTCCTGTTGATAGGACTCTCGCTTTGATTTACGACATTATTTTACTTCTACATAAATTTGATGTTACGTCTGTGGAATTTTTTATTTATTGCTTGGTTCTTGTGTTCTTAAAGACATTCTACATCCAATAGCAGATGTAAAATCGTGATCATGTCCAACTGAGGAATGATTGATGGGTTCGTGAGTCGACATTCGTCGTGGATTGCGGCTTTATTAAAGTCAGTCAAAGATTCTATTGTTCAAGAATTTAGGTCACGATTGTTATTGTTGCTTCTATCAGAAAATTGCGTGGTTCAATTATGGAAATATTGGTATAAAGTCAGATTTAATTTTGGGACAATTTCACTTGCACGTAATATACCTCTATTTATAACGTAATTTAATTTAATATTTGACCACATATACCTTTTTCAGTGGAAACTTCAGGAGAAGAAAATTAAGTTAATTCACATTTGAATTCAGGTCTGAGTGTAAATTAAGCAAGGTTTTACAACTTGTCTAGCTTATGCATAAGAAAGTTGGGGCAATAAATTCCGAATGTATGATAATAGCATATCTATTTTATTTTTAATTCTATTGGATGTATATTGTCTTTTATCATAATCACGCTCTGCTTAATATAGTAAAAAAACAAACATTTAAGAGTGATCCAATTGTTTCTTATTTCATATTCGGGCCGCACAAGACCTAAGGTGCCTTGAATTTCGGCGAGGCGGGCGGGCCTATCAGGAAGGTTGGATGTAAGTACGTGACATGTTTAAAATAAGGATGAATTTTGCGTGGCACGTACTCTACGATATTGCTAACTCAGTTACAATGTTTTCACCCAATTATGGTTGTCCATAATAAAGATAGAAAAAAGTTTTTGCTTCGATTTTATTGAGTTTTAAAAGAAAAGGGACATAAGATTATTATCGATTTTGAATGTGATGCCAAGGATTTTTTAATAGCTTCAGTTTCAAACACATTTTTACTGGTTCTCTTTTCCATGAACCATGAACCATTCCATAACCGTTGTGACTTATGAAAAATTTAAAACGAAACTAATGAGTTATAATAAAGTTGGTGATGTAAATAACGACTAGTAGAAGCAGAAGCACATTGGCACTGTGTTGTTACACTCTGTCGTCTTTGTTTTTTTTTCTATATCTATATAAATACGTGTATTTATTTGTTCTTTTCTTTTTTAATTTTGTATTTTTTTGTATCTGTGTGCGTGCCTACTGTCGAATAAATGGTTTTGCTTTCTTTCTTTTAGAAACCACTATAAAATCTATGAACAAAAACAGTCGCAATACGAATAAAACTGTATAGCAAAGTAGGTACCTATATTTAATTAATTTAAACCAAGAAATCCGTTCCTTGAGACATCTCTTTAAGTAATGAAGACGAACACGGTGTTAGGGTGGTACCTAATACCTAAACGCAATTATACAATGGTCCCAGATGCAGAAGGACCGTGTAATTTAACTCGACGTGCGACACTGTAGAATTCTAGTTATTTAGCTACCCACGTAAGCTTATAAAGGGGAGAGATAACATTAGGAATGGGTATGTAGGTAATTCTGGGAACGAAATAGTTTCATTATTACATTATTTTTTAGTTAGTTTTGTTGTCCCTGTTTATGTTTTACTGAATATGAGATCCGTAGGTAGACAATCCAATTATAAGTACATAAGGGTATCGACTGATTAAGATTATTATCCTTCATGATGTACACACGGCTACACATCGAGCTTTACATAACCAGTATAAACTGAACGTTAAATGTGCGGAAAGATGATGCGACGCGACATCAGGATAAACTGGTTTTGTATAGATTGATGTGTGGCCGTGTGTACTAGGGTTCCGATAGACGTATTGTGGGAATCTGATGCCTTTTCAGTAGTGGCTATAAACTTAAGTAGGTGCTTACACAATAGGCGTAAATACAAATATGTAATCATCTGTTTTGTGAGAAGCCACATTTCCAGGCTTATGTTTATTAGTATTACTCCCATAGAAATATTAAAAACTTCTTTATTATATCTATGACTGTTTGACGAGGAACTCGACTAGTTTCAAGCCATGCTAGAGGCTCATATTCATGAGCAGCATGTATATGTCGCGCTGCTACTGATGTCTATGATGACTTCATAGTCACATACTCATTAATGTATGTTATTATATGCTTCTAAGGTTTATTCATAAAGCCAATTATGTTGTTTAAGACTAATTATCTACGTTTGATCTCATTCAAACAACTAGCAATAGAATTACATTATGAAATTATGACTGTGTGCTCGAGTCTCTACTCTATGTATGACTTCACATTAAGCTATTAAAACCAGTATAAACTGACAGTTGGATGAGCGAAAAGATCATAGACAGCGAGACCGTAATAAACTGGTTTTGTAAAGGTTGATGTGTAGCCGTGTGTACCTTAATCATACGGTATTGAAGCCTTTAGTAATTAGCGCATAATAAATTCTTGAGTCAAAAGCCAGAATATAATGTTCTAGGCTCAGATATAATCATCAACAGCCTATAAATGCCCACTGCTAAGCAAAGCCTCTTCTCACACGGAGAAGTTTTGAGCATTAATCACCACGTTTGCTTAATGCGGATTGGCGATTACAAACTTATAATTATAATTAGAAATTTTAAGCCCAGGTGGTCTCACGATGTTTTCCTTCACCGTTTGTCACTGGTGTCTGGATAATCTTAGAAAGTACATATAACTTGGAAAATTTACATTGGTACTTGCCGTTGGTAGGTATCGAACCCGCACCCTCATGCACGATAAGCAGGCGTCTTAAACCACCGGGCCACCACGCCATAGGTTCAGATATACAGGCAGTTTATAATAGGTCCCAGTGTCGGCGTATTTTCAAAGTGCATTCAATTCAAATGGAAGACTTGTCGCGCATACATTTCCACAATTTATTGTTCGTCGTAAGACAATTAAGTAGCTGTCATTCACTTCTTGTAATTTATTACAATTAAAAATGTATTTGACTTGGATCACACTTGTATATCGTACATACATAGGAATATCCGTTACATATGTAAATGTTTCAATAAACGTTAGGTACATAAAAATAGTCAAATATAGATAATAATAAATAAGATACAGGTTTATATGTCAAAGAGCAAAGTGATTTAAGTATAAGTAGCTACTTGTATGTATTTGAAACCAGATTAAATTAATGCTGTTGATAATCAAATACTTCAACTTTGATACACAGTCATTATAATTGAATTAAGTTAACATTAGCACACTTTATAAGACGTGTCATCTCGTTGATTGGTATGAGTAACTAACGAGGTACCTATCTTTGTCAGTACCTAGGTACCTGCATACCTAGATTTTGTAGGTGACTATATATAATTTATTAGCCGTCGTCAATTTTTTTGTCAATAGCACTTCTGTGTGATATTTGTCAAAATGTTAGTTTTTACGTGATTTACGACTTTGTTTCGTAAAGATTTGTGAATTTGACAGTCTATATAGATACTAACATTCTATTCTAGAGGTTCGACGTATTTAAAGTAGGAATGTAAACTATACTTAATGGGTGAAATATTGTTCTGCTGTACTACTACCTATGTTGAAAATTCGATCAGAACGAGATATTTTTGCAATTGCACCTGAACGGGATAGCAGTTATAGCCATCTGCGACTAACTGCACCGTTATATCTAACTGTCACTTGAGTTTTGGTACAATAAAAGTGAGGATATCAATCATTGTCATATGACATGTATATGATATGTGTTTTACGCATTATAAAATTAACTCTAAATTCTGATAAATTAAACTGTCAAACACCAAGCGGTCACCGGTGACCGCAACCTATTGTTCTTTAATTGTGTCTATAAATACGGTACTCGACGAGATAAATTCTATCACTTGTAAAAAAACAATGTCTCTGGTGAAACCACAGACATTTAAAACGAAATATTTACTATACCTTTATCATAGCTTTGAGCAATGCGTATCTTGTGAACACGTTTCTCTGGGACTTGGACTCGCTGTAGCGAGCCATGAGTGTGACGAGCGCCTTCTTCGCCGTATCATAGTTCTCATCGAGACGCACCCGCACTCCGCGAAGACGTTCATTGGTTTCTATCACCTCTTCCTTCGTCTGCCCGCCTGGTAATATAAATTGCTATACTTTACAAGAACTGCAAAATTGATTAGTAATGCTGGGAAAAGCTTTTCTGTACAATGTCTTCTTTTTCGATAAGGTAAACTAAATTCAAGGTTTCAACAGTCAGGTATAAATATATTCAGTCTTAGTATTGTTGGGTATGTAAGCGACAAATAGGTAGCAGTCGTAAAGGAAAGAGATATGTTCTTGTAGTCCCTGTCTACCGGCTACACAAATCAATGACCGGGTCGGCTAGCCAGCCTCTTAACATTCCGGCCGGCAACGAGGCTAACCTTATAGTCGCTTTTACTTCGAATACAGCACTATCTTAAATTTTCACAGAATCGAAATCGAAAAACATTTAAAGAAAAAAAATTATTATTATTTGTTGAAATTATTGTGATCTATGGAGATTTTTAACAAATATTGTGAACATTTTATTATGTTAAGTACTTACTAGATGTGCCTTCATCCTTGACATCTTGCACGATACGACGGACGCTCTGGGTGAACTTGCCCACTAAATTCGTGCTCGCTGTAACAAAGAAAATAATACCAAATTAATAAAAACAAAACCACAAAGTAACGAGATGAGAGACGATAAGTTTGAAGGCGTTCAAGTTACATCAAAGACCGCAAAAAAGACTGTGAAATTGATAAATATTCAGTGAGGGATCGATTGGTGTACGAGTATGAAGAAGGAAATTTAGTTTGTAGTTAGATAGTTGAGGTCTATATCTGTGTAGTATTCGATTCAAACAAAGCTAGTGGTGGAATATCGGATTTTCAACACGCTTGTGCACTTAGTTCCTTCAAGTGAGAGGTTTTGAACGAACATTGGGAAACAAAAGCCGAACGAATGAACGATGAATAAACCTAAATGGCCGGCTTTGCTGAAGTTTTAAAGTCCATTGTGAGCTAATATTATTAGTTAATGTTTTGGGCATCACTGACTTTAAAATCTAGCTAAAAGCTTTATAAGCGATATTTTGTTGATTGAACATATGCTACTAATCACTTATGATGGTAAAGTTAGGGAGAGTAGTATCTATGTTTAAGTAGTTCTTTCGCACAAAATCAATATAATCGCTGAACCACAAACAGGTACAAATACTGATGACACGCACACAACTATAATCCACGGAAAGGTAAGTAGGTATCGAGTTATTTTACCCATACTACCTAAATTACCATGATTATATGATGTCACTGTCATGCCATAGTCATACATTAAGTTAATGAGTTTTCCTTTAAGATTTATTTCGTCAGCAATTCTATTAAACCTAAGCTTTGTTATAGAGCCTGTGTTCCAAGTAAGAGCATCGCGTAATCCTCTACGAAGTAAGTGAGTCTAATTAGCATAAGTCAACAGGTCATGTTCAATTCAAGTGACTAATCACATTTCCTAATGAGATCATGAGGAATATCCAAAGCTAAGACTACATCATGTCTTATAGTAATGATAGATTATTTAGATAATAATATAGTAATTTTCTTAATTTTATGTTTAAGAAAATAAACTTTGAAAATGTTTAGGTATAAAAGTATTTTTCTTTTCGAACAATAGATGGTTGTGTCTGTTGTATCTTGCCAATGCTTTTATTCCATGAATTTGAAATTTCCATTTACAAACTACCAATACTCAAGAGAGGTAGAAAATTAAAAAAAAAAAACGGAAAAGAGATCAAAATTCGTTGGCTGAAATCCAGTTGTTGACAAGGGGATATAAGTTGAAAGCGATATTGCTGCTACCCCATTCTGTTTCACCGAGGTGCTGGGAATTGAAAAACTTTGTCCTGCATTGTTATGTGGTATCTTATACATACTCTATTATAGAGTACTAGCTTTTACCCGCGGCTTCGCTCGTGTCACAAAAGGATAAAAAGTAGCCTATGTGACATATACCAATACACACAGCGCCATCTATACCAATAATTTCGTTTTCCCTCGAGAATATCAAATTTTTCCGAGATAAAAAGTACCCTATTATTTAATCCAGACTTGTAACTTCACGTCTGCAAAAATTCAAAGCAATCGGTTCAGTAGTTACGGCGGGATAGTGGAACAAACAAACACACTTCCGATTTATAATATTAGTAAGGATTGCTAGACAATTTAAAATTTTCTTATTCTACTTACATAATATAAAATGTTGCTAAAGTGTGTTTCCACCTCCTTTCTTTAGTTATGAAACTGCTAATTACGAGTGATCTTTTGATAATCTATGCCCTACAAATTAAGAAAGAAATTAAGAAATTGTACGAATTGTTTGTGACCATTTTAATTATTCGCGTAAGTGGTGCATCGTGAATTTATGAAAGCTGTTGTCTTGTATTACATTAGTTTATTCTATTTGAAAAATGTGCCTGTGATTGTGTCACTCTAGATCTAATATCAAAAGTAATCTGTGGAGAATGTAGTGGGTAACATATTTGCCAAGTAATATGTAGGTAAGCTGAATTATGTATATTTTGTAATATGTTGCTGTTTGTTTTCCACTAATAAATAAATACACTTTCTACGTAAGGTTTGTAAGATTCTACTGTTACATCATTTACGTAGGTACTAAGTTAGCAAAATTAGTTTGTAGCAATCACAAATCATAATGGACTAGTTGTGGTAAGTTCGGACTATAAATTACGAGTTCATAAATAAATTTAATTCAAGAAGGGCTTAACAAGCATTTCTCAGAGTCGTTAACATTCAAGTATTCAGAATAATGTTGAAGAGCTTCCGTCCTTCTTGCAAAGCTGAGACACAGTTGAGAATTTTCTAGACGTTATACCAAGAGGATAATTATAAACTCCTTATTTAAGCACTTTACTTTGACACCTTGATGGAAGTTGTAACGAACTGGCTACTCTGGTAAACACCTAGGGTATGTACATTAGCGAGTTCGCAAATTAGTTTTGTTTCTAGGTTTTTTATTTATTTCATGGTTGGTATTAAATAATGTTCATTTCATTCGATACTGAGGCCTTAGCGTACTAAGGCCTCAATCAAACCAAACTCGTAAGTTTGGTTTACTTTTAAAGTATTCGAAATTAGTACGCGTTCAGCGCTCTGATTGGCCAGTGCCAATGAAGCAACCAATCAGAGCGCCGAACGCGTACTCGTTACGATTACTTTAAACGTAAAAAAACTCGTGCTAAGGCCTCTGATATTAATGTGAAACTGTCCTAGTGGCAAAATTGGAGAATACTTTCTTCATCATCTTATTTTTAATGTTGTCCTAAAATTTGTTTTGAAGTAGTTTTCTTTAGATGTAACGTCTATTTATTTTAGCACGTGGGTGCTTAAGCTTCAGTGCCATCGTAGCCGGGGTTTACTTGCTTGATCGGATTTCTTGAGTAAGTACAAACATGTGTGTGCCCGTGTTGTGTAGGTTGACTAAACCCTGCTGCTCCAAAACATTTTAGATATTTAATCCTTTATCATTGAAATATGTTTGTAGACATTTCTAAACGATAGTTCATCCACAAACAAAACGTGAATAGAATGTATTTACTTACGGCTTTGTCATTGTCAAGAATAAAAAAGAATACATTTTTTATCAGTAAGATCTATATTTCTATAGTCTTCCTACGTAGTAGAGAAATCTCTTTTCTTTTTATCATTAACAGCCAATGAGAGTCTAGTGCTGGACACAATGAGCGTCCTCTACACATATGTAGTGTTTGCCACAACTTCCATGTTTCGATTTGAGATATCAGTTTTAAAGGTTTATATTGTCACAAAACGTTTTAACCTGCTCAAATAAATCCATTAACTTCTTGATGTCCAATTATGAAAAATTCCCAATATTTGTTCTTACAAAAGTAGTCTCTAAACATAGGAAATAAGGTCTATAATGGTGTAGTGAAGAGCGGTCACCGGTGACCGCTTGAATATCGGTTCTTCTTCTTTTTGTCGCGGGAAGGCTAAATAATCAGGGAAAGTGATAAACAGTGAGTACTTTTAATTTGTCGTCACCTTAAGGAGGTTCCACGCGCACCTCGAAATCAGACCACCACAGATGGGCCCAACAGGGCTGATGCCGATACGGAGTCGCACAAAACTTAACAGATTGCTGGGGCTCCGGCTCGAAGAGCAGAAGTAGAAATGGGGTGGTTTTTAGTCAATAAGAGTCTGACACTCGCTATCGCTTCACCCAGGCGGGATATATCATTGGATGATTTTCAAATCTCTAAAAAAGGCTCGGTGTGTGTTACCCAGGTCCTTTATATAGGGCTTAGCGTTACTATATTACGTAGGTAAGTACAATACAAAGTTGTTGTTAGTGCTCATAAAAGTGTAGTAAACTTTAAATATGTTTTGTTGTGGTCGGTTACGTAACTTAGTTTAAGACTTTGGGCTGTGTGACCATTGTACAACAATGTAATAAGTAATTATAAGTACCTATTTGGTCATCAAGCGTTAAACCTATGACGTGATTTAGTTTGAATAAAATAATGATTCAATAGTTTCAAAGCTTATGTCCTAACTTGACAATAAGATACGTAGCTTTAATACTTATTTTCACCAGTTTCTCTTGTATTCTAAGGTACTCCTAAGGATTAGGTGACATTTAATGACATTTTCACTAATCTGTAAGTGACACCTAACACAGTACAAGTAACGGGTTAGTTTAGGTGCTAAATCACGGTGCAACTTTTAGTTAAGATATGGTTCAGGGTTGGTTGGTGCAGACGGCCGTAAGTCTAGTACATAGTTAGGTAAGTATTTCAAAGTTCTAATTATAAAAATATACCTATTACTGAATTTTGGTCCAATGTAACAACAAAACAATACATTTTAATTAACGTCACCCAGCTATGGATGATCTATGACCCGTACCGGAATTGTGGTTAAATGCGCAATAGATATAGAATATTGTAAACCATATCTATTAATATCTGACCAAAAAGTGGTTGAAATGTGATTGGCATTAGTTTCTATTCAAATTGTATTGATTTGAAAGTGAATACATATATTTATGTAGTTGAAGGATCTACATACATATCAAATGGAAACTGATTGAAAGTTTATAGATATCCAAGGTTTGCGGTATTTTAATTAAAATGATGTCAGTTATTATTTAGGAAATATAGTTAATTTTATTGAAAATTAACACCAACACAGATTTGTTTTATTGTAAACGATTCAAGTGCCAGTTTATGTCTATGTATGTTAACCAATCACATCAAAAAGGCTGAAGGGATCGGGATAAAATTTGTAATAGGTGTAGATTATGGGTCTGTAACAACACAAATGCTACTTTTTATTCCACGCGAATGTTTCGTGTTTCGAAGTCTTTTTTTTTTTTTTTTTTTTTTTTTAAGGGGGGAAAATCATCGAATGACTGCCCCCGCCTGGGTGAGGCGGGAGGGAGTGTCAGACTCTTACTGACTAAAAACCACCCCGTTCCTTCTCCTGCACGTCGAGCCGGAGCCCCGGTTACCCGTTAGGTTCTCCGCGACTCCGAATCGGCATCGGCCCTATTGGGCCCCATCTGTGGTGGTCTGATGGCTCTTTGAGGCGCGCGCGGAACGCGACGCGCCGTACGCTCGGGTCTGTTTCTGGTCGGACGGGGAGCCACCCATGCTCGCCGTCCGCAGGCCCGCGCTTACGGTGGCCGGAGATCGTCCCGCGATCCCCGACGCCCGGTGTGTCCTTCGCGATGGCTGGGTTGCGAGGAGGCAGCGCTTCGCTGCCTCACGCGTCCCGCCTCCTCCTTAGCTAGCATGACTGCTTCGCAAAAGGAGGAGACGGCATCCCAATCCCCCTCGCTCCGCATCATGGCCTGCACTAGGCCCGGACGCGAGAGGTCGCCATCGCCGATCACTTCCCTGAGGACACGGCGGTGCTCAGCCCACGAAGGGCATTCTCCCACCGTGTGTTCCACCGTGTCCTCAGGGCGGTCCTCGCAGTGATGACACCCGGGCGTTTCCTCCCGCCCCATCAGACACAGGTACCTCCCGAAACTGCCATGTCCGGTGAGGACCTGCGTCAGGCGGTAGGTGAGGACGCCGTAGCGTCTCTCAAGCCACTCCTCAAAGAGGGGACTTACCGCTGCGATGGCAGCGAGCCCAGTGTTTCGAAGTCTATAAGATATTAATAGAGTAGTTTCCTACATTTTATTTTAATGTCCGGCTGGTAGCTTAATTTAAAACATTAAACACGTATTTTTTCTTTTCTCACAAAATTAAATACTTTCGACGATATATTAATTTGAAA